GGGATCATGCCTGCCAGCGCAGGTCCCGGACAAATGCCGACCATGCCCCATCCGAGGCCAAAGAATGTGGCACCCAGCACCAGCGATCCGTAGTCTCCGGTTTTGGATGGCCGCTCGAAGCTGCATTCCTCTCCGCAGAGAGGCTTCGTGTCCTGTCGATCTGCCAGCAAGAACGCCGGGAAGGAGACGCAGAGCCCCAAGCCCATGACGAAGGCCAGGCTCGGATCCCAGGTACCCCCAAAATCCAGAAAGTCCAAGACCTTCGCTTGACTGGTCATGCCCGACACGCCGAGGCCCAAGCCGAAGATCATCCCACATGCCATCGGTGACACGAAGCTCCGAGGCTTGGACGGCAGGATCACGGCCAGAGCAGCTAGTGCCACGCTGGACAAGGCTGCTGCAAGAGGGAACTCCCACTTGGGTGGCCACTGGAGCTCTGCCACTCCCCAGGGACCGCTGGCATCAAGTTGGGTTGCATGCCTGGTCACGGCCACGGTGAGCGCAGCTACACCCATGAATGTCGGCACCGCAATCCAGCTGCGAGGCGCAAGGCGCGGAAGTCCGCAAATCCCATGTCCGCTGGTGCATCCGCGGCCTGCTCTGGTGCCGATGCCGACGAAGACGCCGCCCAAGCAGTACCTCGCCACTGAGATGTCCAAAGCCTGAGGATAGGCGAAGTCGCGGTTGAAGGCCAGGTTCAAAAGACCACCGCTGACCAGCCCGACCAGAAAAAGAGCCTTCCAAAGCTGGCCATCCTTCATTGGCTGGCACTTTCCGACCCCCCGCAAGAAGGGCCCCGCGATGCCACTGATTCCCGTGATCTTCCCGTCACCCAGGTATGCGAGGGCGGCTGACAGGCCGATCAGCAGGCCGCCCACGCCAGACTCAATTGGAGTGAAGGCCATTTTGAGCTCTGAGGCTTCGCAACAGCCGGTGCAGGGTTCGAATGTCCTGTTTCAGCAGCAGTGCTCTTGAGCCCGAATGCAGTTCCGTCACAGATGACGATACTGAACCCCGACAGAGTGGCATCCTGCGACATCGTTGCTGTTCCACTGTAGCTATTTTTCCTGCTCCTGGCATAGGTTTCGGTCTATAGGCGGAGGCGTGCTCTCGCACCTTAAGGTGAAACTGCGAATTCCACGAGGATCCTACAAGGCCACTCAGGCGCCTACTTGACCTTGCACGAAGCTCATGACCTGAATTGGCGAGGCCATGTGGCTTAGCCGGATTTAGGAATATGTAGGGTGGTGCGAAGCTGTGAAAGCAGGCCTTGGCAGCTTTCGGCTGCAAAACTGGATCCATCATAGCCATCATCTGAACCTGCAGAACAACAAGACTCCAGGCAACGAGGACTGCACTAGCGCCTCGCGATACCTCGGTGCCTGCATCATAACCATCATGGCGTTCTCCTCCGTCACTCCCCACTCCTGCTGAAGCACTTGCATGCGATTCGACACAAACAAAACTGCGATCGAGAGATGCCAGCTCGCATCCGGATCAAGCTGATCTGATGCTGAACTGCATCTCAAACCTGAAGTCCAAAGTCAAGAGCTTTAAAGCTCGAGCCTAGAAGACATCAGGATGAAGCCTCAAGAATTCGTCTTGCCTCACAGAACTTCCTCGGACAGTACTGGAGGGTCTGTTCAACGCAAGAAGACCCCATGCGCAGGCTTAAGGTTCAGGTCTGGCTCCGGTCCCTCTCGAAATGCGCACATCTGCTATAATATACTATAACATTTCTAGCATACTATAATATAGTATGATATACTATATTATAGTATAGTATACTATAATATAGTATGATATACTATATTATAGTATAGTATATTATAATCTCTCCTTCCAGCTGTCACCGACGACGCTCTTGGCCAAAGGCAAAATCTCCTCTCAGTAAGGACTCAGGCGGCCGATCCAACTGCCTTGCGGTGACACTTCAGAGGGGCCTGCATCATCAGCATCTGTCGCTTCACTTGATCCTCTGGCTCGGCCTAGCACGATTGGAAGACAGCTGAAGCAATTGGTCGTGCTGCGCGATAAGCTCTGCGAAAGCCAAGGATCTTGCATTTCAAGGCCTGACGACTTACTTACTCAATGAACACCTCGACAATGACCTCTAAACCGAAGATACCAAAACAGTTCTAGTCCGCATGTAGATCCCAAGCCCTCAACCCTGGACCAAAGAACCTAAACTCTCAAGCCTGTCATTGTGAATGTCAAACTGTCGCAAGAAGCCTGCCTCTTTGGCCTTTGTGATGATCTCTTCGACCTCCAGAACGCGTTGTACTATGTATCTTTGATGGCAGACGTGGGTTTTCGCTTCATGCGTTTAGGGTTTGGGGCTCGGGTGTTTCAGGGTACGAAATGCGGGCTTACAGGTGCCTTCACGGTAGCCCCCTTACACGGTCCTCCACTCCTATTTTGGCCTTTCACGGCTTCGCACAGCCCAGGGCTTGGTTCAGATTGCCGGGTGAAAGGTCTAGAGGCCAAATACAGGGTAATAGAACACAACGTAATATACTACAATGTAACCTAATACAACAACATGAGATTCAACACAATGTGAATATACAGAACATAACATAACATAATTACTATCATATTAACCGTACAAAGCTGCGTGCATTTAAATCCTTTAGCAGCAAAAGTATAATATAGCATGGTACGATATAGGAAACATGAATACACCCAAAGCCTAATATAACACAACAGAACAAAAATTATTACAACATAATCGGACCCAACATAATGCATCATAATATAGCAAAACATAACACTATGTACGAAAAGTTCACACTTTGCTCAAGCATTCCTGCGCTTCGATTCCTCCCCACCATCGCCTCAGAGGGATTCCATCTTACGGCAGACCCACATCCCAGACGGAAACACGACAGGAGCACAGGGTTCTGTTTGTCTATACATATGTATGAGTATACATATATATATATATATGCATATATGTATACAGAAGAGGAGCTATGTGTAGATGGACATTGAGCGAGAGCTATAGAGAGAGAGAGAGAGAAAACAAAACCCGGACGCAAAGACAGAGAGAAAGCAGGTGTGCAAGGGGAGAAAAACCTGACAAACAACTCTCTCTGTACATATCTGTACTGAAGACACAAACTCATATACAATACAGCGCCAAATTCTTCGCAGATCATCTTCCACATTCAAAGCTAGATTTCGGCTGATCAGCAGAAGGACAGGCAAGGCAACTGTTGATGATTCAGCACACACGTGTCATCGCGCCTTCTTCTTGGTCTCTTCATCCTCGAGCGCGACGATGGCCTGTCGGGGCTGCTTTCACAAAACTTCTGTGGGAAGCCCCAACACACCTGGGGTTTCTTTCATTTGGGGCCTCCCTGGTTGTGGCTGTGGTATCAGAATGGACGGTTTTCAGGATCTCTTGGGGACTTTTTTGAAACATTCGGAGCTCCAGGATGCCTTGTCCACCATCTGCCCGGCAAGCTCCGGAGTGATCGTTGGCATGGCAGGCGCAGCCATGATGCTCAGAGAATTCAGAGGAACCCTCGCTATCAGATCTTCTAATCTAACCTGCTGGCCAAGATGGCGGAAAAGGAAAAGAGAGGCGTTTGTTGCGTCCGCTTGCGTCCGCAGGCATGGCGCAACATGCAACTACACATGTACTCACAACGACGAACCATGTCTACTAGGACTGGACCTTGGAAGATTGAAACAACTGATGGGCCACCCTGAACCCCTGGGTCTTCTTAGCTAAATTCCAGGCCCTCGATCCTTTTGTCCACACTGTCCCTCCGGTGGTCATTGCACCAGAGCAGAGGAGGTCCTTTGCCTCCCCAAGCTAGCTGCTTCAATCACCTGCCGAGGCCTCCGTCTCCAACGGGCGATAGCCTTCGTTGAACCAGTGCCAGGCAAACTCTCTCATCATCACAAAGGACCAGATCAAGTGGAAGAAGAGGACGAAGCCAGGGACGGCGAGGAACAACCTACAGCTCTCACCCCTTTGATGGGCAAGTACCGATGGGAACATGCTCCTGTGGGACCTTCGATATACCAACAAGTGCAATGGATCCTGCGGATACCCTCCACGGGATGCAACAACTCTGTCCATACTATATACTTACTACAGAACTGCTGAGGCGCCAAGTTGCATGAGCATTGAGCCATGCTTTACGATGGTAAGCCACAGGGCATCAAAAGCCCAACAGGTTGAGCCCATCATCATCGACTGAGTTGCACGCACCATGACCAGGGGAAACGTTTTGAAGAAATCTCTGGTGGCTGCTTCTGGCACCACAGCCATCCAGAACGCACGTCGTGAACATCACGGCATGGGCACAGCCGATAAGGGAGAGCCAGCTAAGCGCCACGTGGATCTCGTTGCAGGGCACCCGGCAACAGTCGATCCACTTGGATGCATCCTCAGCAACCGAATTCCCTGTCTTCTCCATGGTCAGCAGAAGTGCCGCCACCACACCGATGGTGGTAAAGCTCGTGACGGTGGACTCCCTGACCTTCTCCAGCTCGGCATCTGAGCTCTTGTCCAGCAATTTATGGATGATCGGCATGGCCCTTGGAACCTTCTCGAACCTACGGCTCAGCCAGACTTCACAGTTTAGAGATGGATTTCCCGCCGAACGGACGTCGCAGAGCATGAGCAGGTCGATTTTGTCGCGTCGCACACACTCGACAGTCTCACTCTAGCTGAAGCTGTTTGCGGTTGGTCCCAAAATCAAAGATCTACCCTTTATCAGGCTGAAAAAGCTGCAGCTTCCAAGTACAGCTATCACAGGCTCGTCATTCTCAGTTCCCTTTCAACACCAGTTGCGCTACTCCCCAAAACCCTAGACCACTCACTCCTACACCACGAAACCATGGACTCCTTCCGCCACTCAGTAGGGCCGCAGGAACCGATATCGGTGAGTCTTGCACCGCTTCCGGGGCTGAGCAGGGCGTCAGGGCTTGGAATGGCATGGATAAGATACACCATGAAGATGCTCTCCTAAACCCCATAAACATAGGAGCCTCACGAATCAGTGGGAGGATATTCTACATCTGATTATATCTAGGGACCATAAGAGTGGTATATATATATATATATTCATATTTCAGAGGCACTAACCCTAGACCAGAGATACTGATATCTCCCAGGACCACGAGCCTTAAAACTCCCGCCATGAAACCTTAAGCCCTGGACCCCACATCTGCCATACCCCCCGTACATCGCTGAAATGTTCAGATCCTAGCCACCATACGGCTGATGGACAAAATCCTGCATGACCTCAAGGACCCTAAACTATGGGAATTATGGTATATTCCTTATAGTGGGTAATGCAGGATTTTGTCCATCAACCATACTGAACTTGGCACCCTTGCAAAGATGTTAACTTTGGCTCTTTCTTGGGTACATTCATGACCAAAAAATGAAGAAGCATTTCCAAGCACGCCTAAGGATAGCCCTAAACCCTAAACCCCAAACTCCTAAACCCTCAACCCTAAACCTTAAGTACCCCTAAGGGTAGCCAAGGCACGCTCACGTTGTTCTTCCCGCCTCCGCCGAAGGTTTGACCGTAGCGAAAGCCTTCAGATCTCTGTCATGCTCCGCAGGGAGTTTCTTTATGAGGGTTTAGGGTTTAGGGTTTAAGGTTTCTATAAGGTCTCTTTAAGGGTTCTGCTACGAGGGTACTCGGAGGTTCATGGGACTTTTTGGCTTACTGCTTCGGGCTCGGGGAATCCTGCGCTTGCATGGGCTACTGTGAGGGGCTCGGAGGCCTCAACCGCTCCGGTTTGGGGTTTAGGGTTTAGGGTTTAGGGGATCCAAAAGCCCTAAACCCTCTGTTGAGGTCTTTTTGGTCTTGGGGTTCAGGTGCGCGGTATGCGCGTGGATTCAGTCTATTACTAACATTCCTATCACTACTACCATTCGTATCAATTACGATCAGGAATTGTCTAACCGTTATACTTCCGGGATTCGGCCTTCTGCCCTTTCCAAACCTGCTTTGCAGGCGTCGTCCGGGTTGGGGCGTCCTTATAAGATAAGGCTTTCTGGGGCTTTATAATTCTAAGGGATGCCTCTGTGGCTGTGCAGGACTTTCTGGGGTCCATAATAAGATAAAACAAGTCAGTTTGAGTGTGTGGGGGGGTACTGATTCATGGCAGCTACTCCAAACCTGGGTTGTTCAAAGGCAGCTAAAATCGGAGCATTAATAATTAGAATGGGGTTTGGTGTATATTATATACCATAACTATGAAAAGGGGCCCCCAAAACCCTTTCCTAGTTCTGAAGGCCCCTACACAAACCGAACAGAAGCTTACAGAAAGGCAGAAGTCCGGCAGAATCATGGATCGGGACTGAAAGGATAGAATAGGGTTTGAAGGTATAAAAGAAGCATAAGTATAGTAGGGGCTAGGAGGGGACATTGTTCGCAGGTATTCAGACCACAAGATTACCAAAAAGCCACCAACAACAACGACCTTCACCACAACAACATCCAAACGTCGAGCTTATCCATTGCGACTCCGTCCCGCCTCCTGGCAAACCAAAATTAGAAAAACGCGAATGCATCCAAACAAGAAGTTGCAACGATTTGGGACATCCTTCCACTTGCAGTAGGGCTGCATGCCCTGAAGAAATGCAGGACAGAAACCTGGTAGCATGAGCAAGAGCGAATCCAGCCGAGGCACTGTTCGGCTCGCGGTGGTCTGCATGAGCCTCCTCAAACGACTTTGCCTGGCAGCTTAGAGCAGACAAAAAATGCTTTAGAGTTTCGGCTGAATAAAGGGTCCAGGGAGAAATTCGCTGAAATTCACGCAGGAGCCCTCAAAACCCTTACCCAGACCCCCGGAAGGATCTAGAAAGTAGAGCCCCTAATTTGGGACCCTATACTACAAAGGGATCTTTATAGGAACCTCCATTTAGGGATCTACTTTTTGGATCCTCCCGGGGGTCTGGGTAAGGCCCTACATTACTCCATGTCAGACTCCTGGGCTTCCAAAAAAAAATTCGGGACATACCCCAGAGCCCTAAACCCTAAACCCTAAACCCTAAACCCTAAAACCCTAAAACCCTAAAACCCTAAAACCCTAAAACCCTAAAACCCTAAAACCCTAAAACCCTAAACCCTAAACCTGCGAACATCCTCTGAACTTCGAGCTTGGGTCTTCCAAAAGACTAATGTAGGGGCCTTAATAATTAGAATTGGGTTTTGGGGGGTAGAGTATACTATAAATTAAAAAAATTGAGTTTACAGTTTTGGGGGTATAGTATACTATAAATTAGAATTGGGTTTCGGGGGTATAGTGTACTATAAATTAGAATTGGGTTTTGGGGGGTATAGTATACTATAAATTAGAATTGGGTTTGGGGGTATAGTATACTATCTATAACCATAATAAGCAACCCCCGAAATGATATAGGTAGTTATTAAGGCTCCTTATCTTATGTTGTTGCACTTGTGCTGCCACGCCTAGTATTCCTGTTGTGTGTGCTCCTTTTGCAACAGTTACAAGAAGTACGAACACTTATTGCAACGGCTACGACCACCACGACTTCTACGACGACGGCGACAGCTGAAACCACAGTTCCTGCTACTGTTGCTCGGACCCCCCTGTTGACTTCCACATGTACTACTCCTGCTTCCTAGTAGCAAACCTACTATTGTCACACAAATTCTACTGTTGCCATTTTCCCAAAACCCTAAATCACTAAGCCCTACCTAAATCCTAAACCCTGCCCCGTAGACCCTAAACCCTAAACCCTAAAGCGTAGACCCTAAACCCTAAGACCCTAAACCCTAAAGCCAAAAAACTTCGACGCTAGACCCCAAACCCTAAACCCGATCCCTAGTCCCCATCCCGAAAACCCAAACTCAGCTGAACCCTAAACCCTAAACCCTAAACCCTAAACCCCCGGACCTCTCCGAGGCGCCGCCGGAAGGCGGCAGTCAAGGCGGGGCTGTCGCGCCACCAGAGGTTCAGTTCGGGCTGGACCTCGGAGAGCAGAGGTGTAGGGTTTCGGGTTTAGGGATTCAGTGGGTTTCGGGTTTCGGGTTTAGGGGTTTCGTGGGTTTCGGGTTTCGGGTTTAGGGGTTCAGTGGGTTTCGGGTTCAGGGTTTAGGGGTTTAGTGGGTTTGGGTTTAGGGTTTAGGGTTTAGGGGTTTAGTGATTAGTGGGTTGGGGTTTAGGGTTCAGGCGTTTGGGGCTTCGGAGGAGCACCGGGCAGTGCAAAGCAGATGACATCACGGGTGCATGTCACTTCGCAACTGAGGGGTTCCTACTCACTTCGGGATTCCAAAGCGCCGACGACATACGACCTGCCGTTCATCCAAGACTCGAAGATCATCGACTTGTGTCGTTCTGCTTGTGACCGTAGATGTCGCTAGCATCACTACTTGTTGCTTCTGTCAATAGCCGGTAAACAGATACCGGGTCTGCCCCGACAATATCCACAACAAATACCTCGACCACTACGACGACTGCAGCGATTGTTTGACAATATTTCGTGTCGAGGCTATCTGTATGTTGACAGATGTCCTTGTGCAATTCTGAGCATCTCTTGTGAGCCCCTCTAGAGCACTATATTGTGCCGTTGTCATTGCTGTTGACATCTCTGGCCATAGCCTTGCCCGCTGCATCATCATCATCATCATCATCATCATCATCATCATCATCATGAGCATCATGATCACCATCATCATCATCATCATCATCATAACGAACGCAAGTACCAGCACAGTCTTGTGATAGTGAGCTATCATCTTCCATATTCCAGAACACTATCACCACACATTCAGCTCCTTGATGCTTGTCGTCAACACAACTACTAGTACGGTTGCTCTTCTGCGACTGCCGCTAGCATCGCCTAAAACGATGCCACGGTTCTCTTAGGTGTTACTATGGCTGGTGTCAGAGGCATCATCGTCATGTTGCGTGCTTCGAAGATGGTTATTGCACTCTGTGTGTGTGTGTGTGTGACTTCCAGTGACTGTGTTGCAAGTGTAGTAATTACTGCTCTTCCGATTTCTGGTATGCTACTGTCGCTGTCAACCCTCTCATTTATATCACTTTTCTTCGTCGTGGTACAGATGTTGCTACTTGTGTCTCACCCATCGCTCCAGCAGCGCCACCAACAGTAGCAGTTGTTGTAGTGGTGGTGGTGGTGGTAGTAGTAGTAGTTGTTGTTGTTGTTGCATTTGTAGTTGTAGTTGTAGTTGTTGTTGTTGTGGTAGTGGTAGTGGTGGCGGTGGTGGTAGTGGCAGTGG